ATTTGTTTTTCCCCCTTTAAACATTTAATTTGTTGTTGTTGTTATGTACCATCAAGTCACCGGCAACTCATAGTGACCCTTTGTACTCTGGCTCTGAAACTTGCCCTATCCTGAGCCAAGTCTCATCTTCTCTGACAAACTTATTCCAATTTCTCTAGTCACTGAGTCAATCCATCTCATTCTGGGTATTCCTTTCCTGCCCTGTCCCTCTACTCTTCCAAGCATAATGTCCCTCTCCAATGACTGGTCCCTTCTGGCTATGTGCCCAGAGTATGTGAGACATATCCTTGCCTCTAGGAAGCAGCCTGGTTACACCCTCTTCATGACAGACCTGTTCATTCTGGCAGTCCATGGTATATTTAACACTATTATCCAGCACCAAAACTCAAAGACATCAGCCAGTCCTTGTATTATCATTGCAAATACCTATTTAGGAACAAAAAGTTAAAAATAGTAGAAATTAATTAATTTCATAAAACAGGGTTGTGGTCCTGTCAGTATTTGTTACTCTATTTTTCTGTACACTACCCCTACATATTATCACTGTTATTTTTAGGTGATCCTTGAAATCTCTATTTTAACAAGCACTGGTGTAGTCTGTAAAGGATTGCACTACTTATCAAAAGACTACTTCTCAGAACGTTGGAATCCACCAGCCATCCTCTGCACAGAAGAAAGAGGGCGAGTCTCCTTTTTTTAAGATATGTAGCCTCAGAAAACTCGGCAGAGGGGCATTGTGAGCCAGAATTAATTCTTTGGCAATGAGTGCATTTAAGACATGCTTATGAAGTGATCACTGGTTATTAGTGTCTAAAACCTTGGAAGAGAACTGTTCCTAATCCAGTAAAAGTAACCAAGACCACATATCCTAATTAATACTATAAAGTTTCTTCTATCCACCCAGGTCCCTGTGTCAGCAGACTAATAGTGTTGATTATCACAAGGATTTTTCTTCTCTATAAGAGCAGTTTTCCAATTTAGAAAGTATGATAAAATTGATCTTTATATCCCTGGTTCTTAGGGTCCAGATAGCAACAAAACTCAAATTCACTGTCATTGAGTAGGTTCTGACTAATAGTGACCATCCATTGAGTGTCTAAGGAGCCACTGGTAGATTTGAACCATTGAAGACATGCAGTCTTTCGGTTAACAGCACTAGTCACTACACGGCTCTCAGTATACGTCCGTACCAGGTACTCCTTAATTCCCTATGGTGAATAAACTTCTTCTGTGGTCAGAGTTCCCTATGTATGTTATCCACACCTCATTCTTCCCTTGGTTCAGTAGCTTAAAATATATTTATAGTTTTATCTCCCTTCTTAAATTGTATATATCTTTAGAGAAGAGAACATATCTTACCCATTTTCCTAGCACTTCCTCATAGACAGTACCTCACACTTGTATATTCAGAAAATATTTTTGAAGTAGAAAATATTTCATGTTTCTTTGATCCATTCATAAGAGATAAGGGGAAGGACTTGGAATTGTCTCCATACTCAGAAGCATTTCAGTTAGTGAATAAATTGCTAAATTCACTGTAATTCATGTTTCCATACATTTAACTTGTTGAGGTAAATGAGGTTTTCAGTAGGAAAAGGTTTATTTTTATTCAAGAGAGAAAAATTCTCTAGCCCTTTAAAAGAGTAATGTGCAGTTGACATGCTCATACCTTTTACGTATGACAGTATGATAAAAATGAAACCATTTGTAACAGGTAAAGCTTCAAAAGGGCATTCAAAGTCAAAACTCATTGCCTATAAGTCAGAACTGACTCAGCTGATCTCCAGTAGTTTTTCAGAGGCTGTAAATCACTTGGGAGGAGATTGTCCCATCTTTCTTCTGCAGAGCAGCTACTGAATTCGAACTACTAGTGTTTGGGTTGGCAGCATACCCACTAGGCCTTAAACTCACTAGAGGTCCTTAAACAGCACATTAGGGTTAATAAAATTTTGTGCCTTAATATTAAATAGGTTATTACTGAAGAGCAATGGTGTCACTCTGGAGACTAAGGTGCATCAGATACAGGCCATGGTCTTTGCAATCACTTGTTATGCATCAGAGAGTTGGACAATGACTGGGGAAGATAGAAGAATTGATGCCTTTGAGCTGTGGTGCTGGAGAAGAGTATTGAGGGTACCATGGACTGCTAAGAAAACAAACAGATTCATCCTGGAGAGGGTTAAACCAGGCTGCTCCTGGGAGGCAAGGATTCTGGGTTTCGTCTGACATATTTTGGACATGTTGTAAGGAGGGACCGGTCCTTGGAGAAGGACATCATGCTTGGGAGGGTGGAGAGACAGCACAGGAGAGGAAGGCCCTCTATGAGGTGGATTGATTCAGTGACTCTGGTAATCAGGATGGGTGCATCAGAGATGGTGCGATTGGCACAGGACAGGGCAGGGTTTAGGACTGTTGTACATTGGGTCGCTGTGAGTCACAAGCGACTCGACGGCACATAACAACAACAAGGCATAAACATACAGCAATGAGCCCGAATGACAGTTTCCTGACATTCTGTTGTGGTTGTTGATGTGGGGTTCTGTGGAGTCCACTATGACTCATAGTGAACCTGTGAATAACTTATCTGAACCTTGTCCTATCTTGTACCATCTTCAAGACCTCTAATATAGTTAAACCCATTGTTAAAGTTCCTGTGTCAGTTTCTCTTGTTGAGGATCTTTTTTTTTTCTTTCTGATACTCAAGCTTTCCTCATAAAAGTAAAAGAACATACTCACCTAAATCTGTAACAACATCATCAAGAAAAAGATAATTAAAAAGAGTTTGAGGAATTGATGAGAAGGACTATAATTAGGACCATCAGGTTAATGAGCTGTAAGGGAGCAACTCTAATCGCCTAGTTCATAGGGATTTATTCTGCTAGCCCTAAAGCCATACCTCTCTAAAGCAGTTTGAATCCCCAGGAACTGTGCAGGAAAAGATAGGCACTCTCCTCTTTATACTGTTTATGGCATCCGAACCTACTGGAGGGTGAGTTATAAGAGTCAGGTCCAACTCCACAGCAATGAGTTTAGATTTTTTTCACATGGAACACTGTAGTAACTTCAGAGGGATTTAGAACAGTCAGTTTGGTTACAGGCTGGGGTTAGGGACGCTTGTTTCTCAATCAGACATAGAAAGTGAACTGATTATTTTCAAGTTAAGCATTTTGGGTTGACCAAAAAGAAACAAAGTCTGTGACCCCATGATTTCCACCCTAAGTTCCCCTGCCTCTCTCCCCTTCCCTCTTTGGACTTTTACCCACATTTTGCTAGCTATCCTTCTATTTTTACAATAATGGTCTTATGTAGTATTTGGGGATGAAGAAATTAGGATAGAACTAACTAGTGAGGATCTGAAAAGATCAGGTGACAGTGGACATGGATAAACTGTGATTAATTTTATAGAACACAGTGTATAGGAATGATCATATGAAATACAATGTGAATGAAGGAATGTATGTAACGCAGTGCACATGAAGGAAGCACAATGTATACAAATTCTGTATGCTGACCGATATTTAAAAAAAATAATTTCCCAGGTTAAAAATAAAATAAGGCAAAATATTTTATTTACAACATATAAAAATTAAAAAAAATAGTCATGTGAAAGAATATTGTTTTCATAGTTCTAATTCTGCATACCTTTTTTGTCTTATGGGATATACAGTGCCTATCCATATTTTCCTCCTCTGGGATTTATCAGCTTTTCCACTGATGGTGCATTCTTAAAAAATAGGAAAACCCTACCTTTCCTTAGAAGATTACCACACTCAGTGAAATTTACAGTGTCATAAAAATATCCAAAGACATCTATACAATTTATAACATTCCTTTTTTTTTTTCCTTTCCAATATAGTACCTAAGAACAGGCTTTGGTTAAGTGTTTAGCTTCTAACTGAAAGGCCAGTTATATGAATCGACCAGCAGCACCTCAGGATAAAGATGTGGCATTCAGCTTCCCTAAGGATTATAACCTCCAGAATCCTAGATCTTGTAGCCTAGTAGTAAGAAGCTGTGCTGCAATCCTAACGGCACAAAGTTCAAATCCACCAGCTGCTCTTTGGGAGAAGGACAGGCAGTCTCATCCCATATGGTTTACCTCTGTAACCTGCTAGAGGGCCCACTGTGAGTTGGTTGTGACTTGACAGCACACGATAGCTGCTTGTAGAGTTGTTGTGAATCAGAACCAGGTCTTTGGCAGTGAGTTTGGAATGGCTTTTTGGCAAAGGTATAGTTAAGGGAATTGGAGAAGGTAGGCTGTGCAGGGAGACCATAGCTAAAGAAGAAACTCCACAGAGGAGAGAGAGACAGCATATGCAGATTGCTACTAACCACCCCATAATTTATTCTCTTCAATTTTACTTGTATTCTGTCTGGTGTTAGTTCCAGAAAGTACTTTTTCCTACTTTTTCTTGATAAATTATCCAGATAGGAGACTTTCCTGTAATACGGATACCCACAATTGCTTTGTGAATAATTACACAGGAACATCTACCACAATAAAAAATATTCCAGATACTTCTCCAAAAGCATTTCATCACTAATGGCCCTCAAAATACATTATTATAAATACTTTTCTTAGTATCATTTTGTCTAAATAAGAAAGTTCTTTGCTATTTAGATTTCTCTAAACATCTTTCTGATAGAAGAAATGTCATTGAATGTGATAATCTTCCAAGGAGAAATAAAGCTCTTACTTTTTTTTCCTCTCCTCATAACAAATGAGTATGCTTATCAACCATGTCTTGAAAAGGAAATGCACAAATTTAACTACAAATTCTATAGAATTCATTTACCATGGTATTTTAGAATAGAGACTAATAAAGAAAGCACATTATTGAATTTCCTTTAATTTGCCTTCATATTGTATCTACTTTGTTCTAAAATAAAAAGTTGGAGAACTTATAAATTGGATGTTTATATATGGTAATTCCTACACTAGTGTTAAATTTTCAGTAAATTAATTTCAGTATGAAATAAACAGTTTTTCTTTCTTTTAGGTGATGGTGTTTGTTCATGCTCGAAATGCCACTGTAAGAACAGCGATGTCTCTAATAGAAAGAGCCAAAAATAATGGACATATTGCCTTCTTTTTGCCCACTCAAGGACCTGAATATGGGCAGGCAGAGAAACAGGTAGGGAGCCAAGAGCAATGTGATATAAAATGGAACATATACTGTGCCACGTGTCAGATATTTTGTATATGAAAAATCAGCAGTTTCTGAGAATGTAATAATCTTGCGTTTAGCTTGAGTTGTTCATCTTTTCATGGTTATTTATTATGGTTTGGATTGGATTGCCTCAAAATAAGCCTTGAGTTCCCAACCTATGTGAAAAAAGATCATAAAACCCATAGAGTACATAATGTTTACAACCTGGCCCCCTACACAGAATGCTTGTTGATTCTTAATTAAAGCTGTGAAAATAATTTTTCAACTCAGAAATAAGAAATACAATACTTATGGGGTACAAAATGATCACAGTTTTTAAATATTTTATTTGTATTCCACAAGACTTAACTGTTATTAGCTGTCTGGAATTAATTTATACATTTTCACATTTTATTATGTTACTGAAAAGTATTTAATTCTTAAAATTATAAAAAAGTTTTTCATTTTATGTTTATATTTTAAATTCTGAATATGGTAAACTACTACCACTTGTTTTGATTATTGGAATAACTTTCTGTTTAGAACTCTAATATTTTATGTGTAGTCTTCATTTTATACCATTTCCTTTATGTAAGATTTAGCATATAGAGCTTCATATTTGTACAGTTATTTATTTTTTATTGTTTTCTGAGAGCATTGGCTTTGTTTTCAGTTTCTGAGAGAATTTATTTGAAAAGCTATATTGGTTTTTAAAGTCAGTTTCACATATCAGCTCTACTGTATTTAAAAGCCAAGCCTTGAGAGCCACCTTGTGGATTTCTGGCTGCTTCACACCTCTAAATTCTGAAAGCCGTTGGCAGTTTAAGTCTCATTGCTGGGAGCCGACTCACTATTGAGTTTCCAAGACTGTAAAACACTTGGAATAGGAAGAGGTTGTCCATCTTTCTCCTATGGAGCTGCTGATGAACTTCAGCCACTGGAAATGTGGCCTTTAGGTTAGCAGCACAATTCCTTTAATGTCAACACTTCCATAATTTAAGTATTTTAAAGTAATGTTTATATTATGTATCATCAACGAATATAAATTTTTATTGTGCTGGGGGAAAAATTAACATGGGAAAACAAGTAAAAAATTTTTGCTACATTTGGATAGACTTGAAATTCCTAGTAATTTTTATACATTTTTTTATCTTTATACTTGATTTTTACTGTGATAAAACAGTTACTCATGATTTTTTTTTAAACAAAAATGAATTCCATAAACGTTGAGCAGAGTTTTTTGAGGCATAGTGTATTGTTCACCATTATACTCTCAACTTCTACTTCCCCACCCACCTTGTTCTCTGAGATTATAATACATACTTTTATTTCCATTTTGTCACGTAATCTCTACAACTATTCTGTTCTCTAAAGATTTTTTTGTTTACGTTTTATCAATAAACTAAGAGTAAGAATAAAAAATTTCTTAGAGACTGTAGGTAATAACATAGGTTATTGATGAGTCTTCCTCCAATCCTGATGCCACATTCCTCCTGCTTCCTGAATGACCTGTTCCACATATAGATTGAAAAGGTATAGAGACAGGATGCATCTCTGATGCACTTCCTTCCTGATTTTGAGGAAATAACCTGCTCTGTTCCAAGGACTGCTTCCTGAATAAGTTTCACGTAGGCGCAATTAAGTGTTCTGGGATTCCCATTCTTCTCAAGGTTAACCACAATTTGTTGTGATCCACATAGTCAAATGCCTTTGCATAGTCAATGAAACACAGATAGCCATTCCTCTGGAACTCTTAGTACACTTGAAAGTACTCTTAAAGTACACTTCATCCAGGCTATGGTCTTCTCAATTACTTGCTATGCATCAGAGAGCTGGACAGTGACTAAGAATGACAGAAGAAAAATCAATGCCTTGGGGTTGTGGTCCTGGAGAAGAGTCTTGAATATACCATGGACTGCCAAGAAAACAAATAGGTCTATCTTAGAGAGGATGAAACCAAGTTTCTCCTTGGAGATTAGGATTTTAAAATTCCATCTCACATACTTGGGGCATGTGGCCAGGAGAGACCAGTCCTTGGAGAAGGGCATCGTGCTTGGAAGGATGATAGGACAGCGCAGGAGAGAAAGACTACGGATGAGATGAATTGAAACAGTAAGTAGAGCAGTGGGGGTAGTTGTGTCAGAGTCAGACTAGCTCAGGACAGGGAAGACTTCAGAATTGTGCATAGAGTTGCTGTGAGTTGCAGGTGACTCTACTGTACATAACAACAACCAGGTAATAAGTGAAATTTATAGTTTGAACCAAAGTCTCTGAGACTTTTTTTTTCCCTTTCTTTATTCAAATGGATGAGCATTTCTTCAACCCAGCCTTATTCCTCAGTCCTCATTAGAAAAGATTTTTTTAAAGTGACCTTCTCCCTGGGACAGTTAAATTCCATAATAAAAGACAATTTATCTGATTTTTTAAAATTCTACAATTTAAGATTATTCCTCTTATGCTGATTATATTTGTAATTTTTCTTCTTTAAATTAATTTTGAACTTGAATGGTGCTAACATTCTGCCAATCTTATGGAAGCTGTTATGGTTATGTTGTGTACAGTAGAGTCAGAACCCACCCATAACTGACCCTCAGACAGGTTTTCAGAGGCAGTTAATTACTGGGAAGAGATTGCCTATCCTTCTCCTGCGGAGCAGCTGGTGGCCTTGAAACGCATACTTCAGGATCACAGCATAGCTTCTTGCCACTAGGTCACCAGATCTCCCTGATCATCTTATTGTTGTTAGTTGCCGTTGAGTCGAGTATGACTCATAGCAACCCTTTGAACTACAGATCTGAACCCTGTCTTCTCCTCTGCCGTCTTCACCCTTCCTGACACACTAGATCCCATTACAGCAGTCAATCCATGTGGTTGAAGGTCTTCCTCTCCTTCACCTACCCTCCATCCTTCGAGGCATCATGTCCCTCTCCAAATAATAGCCCCTTTTAGCAACATGCCCAAAGTATGTGAAGCGGAGCCTTATCATTCTTGCCTTCAAAGAGCACTCCAGCTGCACCCTCTAGAGTCTGGCACTCATGGGATGGATGTTCAGTGCTCTTCTCCAACACCATAGCTCAAAGGCATCAATTCTTCTGTCATCCTTATTTATTATTCAGCTCTCAGGTACCCTGATAAAAGTAGGAGATATTTCTTCTGTATTTTTGGAAAGTGTTAAGTATTCAAACCATTAAAATAAAGGTAAATTAGAAGATAAACACATAATCTTTTATGTAGAAATGTAGCTTCATTGCTTCTATTAATGGAAATACAATAAAATCCCTACCACACCACAATGATACTTTACCCTTAAATATATATAATGTAGCCATCTAAATTCCAGACTTTCCAAGTACAGTTTTTAAAGTCATTGGTTAGTGTTACCAAAGATAATAGAACTTTTTTAATATAACTAATGAAACTCTAGTGAGGAAATTTTTTTCTCTCTCTCCCCTTCTATCTTTTCCTTTCTCTAACTCTCTTGTCATCTCATCTCTTCTCATTTCTATGTGTGTGGACATGTGTGTACATGTATGTGTGCTTGCGTGCACTCTCCTGTATGCATGCATGCATGTGAGGAAGAAGGATAGTATGTAGTAAGAGAGTAAAAGTAGTATTTGTATGTGTAAGCTGCAGTTACATCTGATTCCTTCTCACCAGTAAGTAGCAGTTTAACTTCATAAAATGTCAGTGGTTCAAATCCATTAGCCTCTCTGAGAAGGATGTGCAGTCTCCTCTCATAAAGATTTACAGCCTTGACAACCCAATAGACAGACACTTTGACTCAGAATTGCCTCTACTGCAGTGAGTTGGGTGGTTCTGGATGGTTAAATAAGTAAGAAGGTAACTATAAGAAAACTCATTGAAATTGGATTAATGAACATGGAAAACTACTCTTGACTTCATGTCTGTTTCATAGTGGAGAACAAGACTAGATAGAATTGGGTAATGAGTGCAGAAACAGAAAATTCAAATGTTGACATTATTTTTGAGAAGTTAATGTATCTACAGAAGGGAAATTTTATCTACTTAAGGGAAATTGTATCTACAGAAGGGAAATTTTATCTACTTAAGGGAAATTGTATCTACAGAAGGGAAATGGATGGTATCTAGAAAAATAGGAAATGTACCAAGAAAGATAGCCTTCAAAGTAGAAGTGATATACTGAAATTTTGCTGAATCTGTTGGCTGCTAATAGACAAGTTGGAAACTTGTAACTCTACCCAGAGGCATACAGAAGTGCTAATCTAGTTTAGAAAATCTGATGGAACATAATTCTGTGCATCACATAGTGCTGCACTGAGTTGGAATAAACCCTGGCAACTGAACTGATTAGCCAAAATAGAGTGTAAAAGGATTGAAGTTGATTCATTATCCATATAGGAAAGTAAAAGACCAACAGATAATACAATATTAATGATAAGGCAATAGGCAACAGGATACAAAAAATATGTGGAATGATTTTCCTTAAAAGGGAGAGAGGGTGATTTATTTTTTTATACATATAATACAAAGAAAGAGGAGAAAGATTCATTTAATGAGACACTTATTTCTTGTACATGACAGGAAAATGAGGTGTTTCCTCTGATGGCTTAGATTTTACTATGAATCAGTTGTTAAGGTCATTCTCTGAGAGTTAAGGGTAAATGATGTGGCCAGAAGTTGAAGAGAGCAGAAAACTTAGAGATGTTGTGAAACGTGTGGATACCCAGATTGAATAGACATGATAAAGTTGATGTCCAATGTTAAGAGGTTTTGATCATGACTTTTAAATAGTCATAAATTGACCAGTTTTGTGATTTTTCTTTTGGCATTTTGCCAGTTCAGTATTATAGAAGGGCAACCAAGTTTAAGAAGCTGGCATAATAGTAGCTAAAATGATGTGATATGTAAGCTTAGTAAGGAACATGGTTAAGGATCTCCACATGGTGAAGAAGAGTGGTACTGGTGCCGATTATAATGAAAAGAAAGAAAGTATAAAATTTATG